GAAAACTAAATAATTTTATTTCAAGATCCCAACAAAAGGAAATAATTGCTTCTTCTCCTACCTGGGGGAAATGGCAATTAGAACGATGTAAATATAGTCTTTCCATTGTAACTAAAATATCGCTAATCTTCAAGGTGACTTCATAAAGAAGAAAATATGATCCTGTCTTCAAGACCCATATGGGTATATACATACTTAACTATGTAAAGTTTCTCCTTTATCTGTGGAAATATTTGTTTTAGGATGGCTATTTAATGAGATAGGTCAAAACACTGGTGTGAGCATGTGCATATGTGTTACTTTCCGGCATCTGTGGGTTTTACGACATGATTATAGAACAAAAAAAAATATGAAACAATGACTTTTAACAGAATCAAACTCAAAGATCATTCAGTAAATAGTAAATCAGCCGCAATGTTGAGTAATATAATTAGTCATAAAGAAAAGTCTAGACTACTCTAGTTTAGCATACCTTATAGACTATTCCAAAACCTCCCCGACCTATCCTATTGCTCGAGTGAAAATTGCCAGTTGCTGATCGCAGCTCATTATAAGAGAAAAGCCTTATATTCTTGACATGGGAGAAACCTGGCCATATCAGAACAAAAGGGCGTCAGAACTACCTACAAGACTGGTAACGTTTACTGGTTTTACTCACAAATAACATGTTTACCCTATTAAACTTTTTGAACATAGTGCTATGTTGTAGGAAAAAGACAGCAGATACTTGCCAGATACATGTATGCAATAGGAATAAAGTAGGTGACGTAAAGTCATAGCCGAGACAAATGGGATAGCATAAACAAAACAAAAAATCCAACAAAAAAAAAAGGAATTCCCAAGAAGAACCACATGGTAAAGATCAAATATCACAATGTTGCATGTTTCAAGGCAAGCACAAAGCAGACATTTTTTTCATCAAATCAGAGAGAAGATAGACATATTACTTCATTGGGCTTATTAATCAAATAACTTTAACACAGGAACTATGAATCAGTAAAGGACTCCAAGAAAATGTGATAACTAAAACCTTCCTGCAATCATTACCGAAATAAGTAAGCCACGACATCATTAATTAGCGTTGGCCTGCATATAACTCAAATGCTCGAATGTGTAACTTCAGTAAGAAGAAAAAGTTAAAAAATGAATTTCACTGAGCAAATTCTTACTACCCAGTTCTTGTCGAGGCTTTTTCCGCACACCAAAGCAGCACTGCTTCATGTCCAGTGATGTTTCTAATAATGCTGTCTCATATAATGTGGTTGCACTCTGTACTCTGTAGATAGAAAACATTGAATCCTTTTAGCAATCCTGATATAATGAACATATACAAAGTAAACAAGCCATGAGCCTGATTTCTTACATCAATTATCACTTTCTAAAATAATGGCGTATGTGGTTGAATTTCAATAGAAAGAAAGATCAATAAGATTTGATATAAACTAGGCAAGAGGTCCACTATCATAGTCTCCTGAAATGGAGAATTATTGTAGAAGATTGCATATAAAATTACAAAACTTTTAGTTTTTGAATGTTTAATTTCATTGAGCGAGAAAAAAATTATCTGACCCATTTCTCTTCAAAAATCTAATTAGGGTAACCTGTGTTCATAAAAACAACAGCAATAATTTTAAAAAATGAGCTAATTGCTCCATAATCATTAGCTCAAGCTTCAATTTCACTAGCTAAACTGATTTTGACCCTTAAAAAACTACCTTTAATCATCAAATTCTTACTAAAAAATGAAAATCAAGCTATTCCATCATTTTAGCTTAATCTCAGCTCCAATCCCATCGATTTTAACCAAATCAAACAACAAAAACACAAAATTGACCCCAAAAAAGAAAGAAGAGCAAAAGAGCAGAGATCAAACCCACCAGATCGAAGCCCAGCTGCAGTAACTCCAAAAAATTCGCCCAATTTTTAGGCCTTACAAAGAGAGAGAGAGAGAGAGATCTTTCTTTTTTAAGGGGAAAAAAATCAACATCGAGAAACGCGGAACAAATGAAGAAGGATTATGAAAAGTAAGCACCAACTGATAATAGTAATTAAATGATAAGAATTAAATAATAACAGCAATAGTCTTCTCAAAATAATAATAATAATAATAATAGCAATAATAATGATAATAATTGCAATTTTGTCCCCTCGCAGACTCGCGAAGATGTTCACACTCCAACGTGGAAGCAAACGGCAGCTGACGGCTTTGAGATTGTATGGCGGCTAAATATCAGAAAAACCCCTTACCTTTGGACAATTATCAAATAACCCCGTATCTTTAAAAATATCAAAATTACCCAAGTTTAGGGGTTATCGGGAAATCACTTTAATTTTAAGATTTTATCAGAAAATCCTCCTAAAAGTGTAATGAAAATTCTCAATAGAGAAGTGTTCTCCTGCATAGTTTACCCACCATGTGAAAAATTGTGCTTAACGTTAGGGCTGGGCATATTCGGTTCGGTTCGGTTTTAAGCCCAATCCGCATCCAATCCGAAATTTTCGGATTTTCAAAACTCTCATCCATATCCAGATTTTTTTCCCCTTCATCCGAATATTCGGCCCAACCGAAATTCGGTTCGGTTCGGTTCGGTTTCGGTTTTGAATTTGCAAAGAGTTCTATCCAAAGACTTCTGTTGTGAATTTACAAGCTGGGCATTGTCCTCATGATGAGGTTCCTGAGCTCGCCAACAAAGCTTTATTAGATCATGATGAGGTTCCTGAGCTCGCCAACAAAGCTTTATTAGACTGGTTATCATCTTTAGAATAAAGTTTAGAGTTTATATAATTACACAGAGAACTGATGTTTTAAAGATGTTGTTCATATAATACAGCATGCTTTTCTGCGAAATTTTTTAACTAAAGTTTAAGTTTATTTAATTACACGGGGGAGTGATGTTTTGTATGATATTGTTCATATAATGTAGCATATGCATCTTTTGTAAGTGCATCATGTGCATAACAAATTTTCTGGATTGATTTGAATATTTACTTGGTTCTCAAGGATATTTTTCTGTGATATTGCTGTACTCATTGCTTGAAACTGCTTCTTGCGCCGTTTGAATCTATTGGATGATAACAGGAAGTTTTGAGGTATAAGTTTAGTCTCTAAACCGCCCAACAGAATTCGGGTCGGTTTTTTTTGGGCGGTTCAGGGGTTCAAACCGGATCCAAACCGATTTAATTCGGTTCGGGCGGATTAGAGACTTCTTCTCATCCATTTAATTCGGTTCGGTTAACCGGTCCGTTTTTTCGGGCGGTTTTTTCGGTTGAACCGGTTTATTTCGGTTTTTGCCCACCCCTACTTAACGTTGTAGTGGGACTTTTCAATAAAATCTCAGAGTAAATGGTATTTTTTATAACACATAATGTGTTAGTTTTACAATATTGAAGGAGACAGAAATTCTGAGGCGTGAAACACTTTCCTTAAAGAAATATTTGCCCCCACTTGATATTCAAAGTTGCTTCGGGTTAATGCAAATTTTCTTCCCAGGATACAACAGAAAATGAAAATTCCAGTAAGCAAATCTGGAATTTTCCTTAATTCGTTGTGAAACAAGTTTGTAATATTGCAGAAGTTTTTGATAGAAAAGATTCAGAGAAAGAATTGTTTATGATATCTAAAAATATAAACTATTTATAGATTTTGAAAATGTGCTTCCAACAGTCACAACTTTTCAAAACACCCCTTGGATTAAACAGCCACTTTTCAACAGTCTTGTCTTTTCATAAATTTTTAAAATTCGAAATAACATTAAAATATATTCAATATATAATTATATATATAAAAAATAGAACATTTAAGCGACAGCGGCAAGCGTGCAAAGTGCTAAGTGCGTCTAATAATCGCGTCAAAATAGCGCATTATTCGCGCTACGCGTACGCGGGTTTAGAAGCCTACACTTTGATCCATTATTCAAAGCCCAATAAGCATTCAATGCTTTTAAACCTCTAAAAGAATGTTCAAAATTCCAATGTGGGACTATCTTGTTTTTTACAAACAAATACTAACAATCCCCCACTTTGTTTGAAAAAACATTTTAATAGTGTTATATTTAAAAAATAATCTGCAATATGTACAAAATGAGATAAGTATACATATGTAGAGGTATCTTTCGATTTAAACCTTTACTTAGTACAAATACCTCAAAGTTCTATCAAAGTCGTTAGTTGCCTTAACATTAAACTAATTACTCTTTGTGATAGAACCGGAAATATTGTACATACACTAATCTCTTGTTTCAAATGAGAATTAATATTTTAGCACTGTTATGGCCTTGTGCTTATTCCTGGTTCATGAACTCTTTTAAGAACAAACCTTTAGCTCTTTTAAGAAGCGGCACCACTTCTAAGTTCATATAGGTGAAACGTCTACAATGTGTTTTCCATTACTTTAAACACACAACAATAATGTATTAGACTTTCATTAAGAGCATAACTCATCCTCTTATTCCGTAATGGACGATATTGACATTATCTTTTAGGGCTTAATGCGTCAATATCAATCAATCACTGTCAGAAACTTGTTATTACCCATTTAAACCATTTAACCAGTTTAGTTCTAGTAAATGGTTGGGTTACCATTCCTGGTGATTTTTAAATATAAGGTTTCAGCCCCATTTCACTTGATGTCATCTTTACTACCTCTCTTGCTAGAGGTTTTGTAAATGGATCAGCCAAATTTTTATTTGTCTTGACATAGACAATAGTTATGACACTATCTTGTATCAAGTGTCTCACATATTCATGTCTTAGACTTATGTGTCTAGACTTACCATTATATGTACAATTATAAGCCCTTGACAAAGTGGCTTGACTATCACAATAGATAGAGATAGGAGGCATTGGACTCGGCCATAACTTAATATCTAGCAATAAGTTCCTAATCCATTCAGCCTCCTTACCAGTTGCTGCTAAAGCAATGAATTCAGATTCCATGGTGGAGTGTGAGATACATGTTTGTTTCTTGCTTGCCCAAGAAACTGCTCCTCCACCAAGTGTAAAAACCATTCCAGAAGTGGATTGGTTGTCTCCAACACTAGTCATCCAGCTTGCATCGGTGTATCCCTCTAATACAGCCGGATAATCATTATAGAACAAACACAGATTTTTGGTTTTCTTTAAATATCCAAAAATCCTGGAAATGCTTTTCCAATGTTCTACACTTGGATTACTAGTGTATCTACTTAATTTGCATACAGCAAATGCAATATCAGGTCTAGTACAATGCATGGCATACATTAAAGAACCAATTGCACTAGCATACTCAAGCTGTGCTACAGCTCTACCAGAATTGGCAGTCAATTTGACACTGGGATCAAAAGGAGTGTTAACTTCTTTAAAACCAAGATGATTAAATTTATTCACTATTTTTTCAATATAATGTGATTGGCTTAAAGAAAAACCCCCACTATGTTTTCTAACTTTGATCCCTAAAATAGTATCCGCTTCTCCTAAATCTTTCATTTTAAACATAGAAGATAGATACTCTTTAGTCTCATTTATGCCAATCATATTAGTGCCGAATATTAACATGTCATCCACATACAAGCAGACAAGCACACCATATTTATCAGTGAATTTAGAATAAATACACTTATCAGCACTATTATGTTTGAAACCATAAGATAGAATAACAGAATCAAACTTTTCATGCCATTGTTTTGGTGCTTGTTTAAGACCATAAAGAGATTTAATTAGTTTACATACTTTTCTTTCATTTCCTGGAAGAATGAAACCTTCCGGTTGTTCCATGTAAACTTCCTCATTTAAATCTCCATTTAAAAAAGCAGTCTTGACATCCATTTGATGCACAAATAACTTATGTATAGATGCCAAAGCAATAAGAATTCTAATAGATGTTATACGTGCGACAGGTGCATATGTATCAAAATAATCTATGCCTTCTTTTTGTCTAAACCCTTTGGCTACTAATCTAGCCTTAAAAGCTTGAACAGAACCATCAGAATGATATTTTCTTCTAAAAACCCATTTACATCCTATTGGCTTTGATCCTTGAGGTAAATCTACTAAAATCCAAGTACTATTTCCCATTATAGAATCCATTTCATCATTGACAGCTTCTTTCCAAAATGAAGCATCTCTAGATGACATTGCTTCTATAAAGGTTTTAGGATCATCATCTGGATTAAAACTTATAGGATGTTTATTTAAAACATTATTATTCCTATCACCTTCAACAAGAAAAATAATTTGTTCAGGAGAAATAAAATCTGAAGGTAAAGATTTCTCTTTTCTTACTCTAGTACTTCTTCTTGGCTCTGATATTTCTTTAGATATATTCGTTTCCTTAGCATGAAAATCAGAACTAGAAAAATTATTAGAGTTAAGCAGAATAGGAACATTTTCAACATTTTCAGAATCTACAGAAAATTTATTTTCAAAGAATTCAACATCTCTAGATTCAACAATAGTATTAGAAGATAAATCAAGTAGTCTATATGCTTTGCTATTTTCAGCATATCCGACAAAAACACTTTTAAAGGCTCTAGGTCCAAGTTTTGTTCTTTTAGGATCAGGAACTCTATAATAAGCCAAACACCCCCACACTTTAAAATATGACAGATTAGGCTTTCTACCTTTCCATAACTCATAAGGGCTTATATTTGACTTTTTAGAGGGAATCCTATTATGAATATAACATGCTGTGTACAAAGCTTCTCCCCATAAATTTAAAGGTAACTTAGCATTATTAAGCATACAATTTATCATTTCTTGTAAAGTTCTATTTTTTCTTTCGGCTAAACCATTCTGTTGGGGAGTATAAGGTGCTGTACATTGATGAATAATGCCATGTTCTTCACAAAAAGTATTAAAATTATCAGAAAAATAT